TGTGCACAGCCAGACCAGCCGGAGCTACCCGATTTGGGCCCCGGGTGGGCTCCAGGCCCGGCGCGCCCATGCCCAAAGATGGCGCCTCGCCCCCCGGGGCCCGACTGCGCCAACCCCGATGCTGGGAACAGGGCCGGCTACCCGGGGAACCAGAGGAGAGGCCCGGGCTGCGGAACGCCCGCGGGAACGCGCCGGGCCCCGTCTCCGAGGCGGCGGCCGCCAGAGAGAGAGAGGAGGCGGAGGCGGACAAAAGGGCTTACCCGATCCGGCCAGGAGGCTCTCCGCGGGTAAGGGGGAGGCAGATGACGGCTGTCCGGCTCCCTCCATCGCCGATCGTACGACCGAGGGGGCGGGTCCGAGGCGCAGAGGAAGGCCTTCGCCCTAGCCAATAGGGAGCCGGGGAAAGACGAGGGACGGGTGGAAGGGCGAATAGGGAACAAGGAGAAGGGCGGAGGAGGCAGGATGGGGGGAATAAAAATGGGGGGGGGGGGCCGCTGAGGCCGAGGAGCTCCAGTAGCTGGAGATGGCCGGAAGCTAGGGAGGTAGCCGAGGTGGCCTGTAGGTGGTCAGCCGTGTGGGTCTGGAGCAGTAGGACACGTTTAGAACCCGGGGGCACCTTTAAGACCGACAAGGGTTTATGCAAGGTATGGGCTTTTTGTGTGCACGCACAGGAAAGCGCATGCCTTGTATAAAGCTTTGTTGGTCTTAAAGGTGCCCTCGGGTTCTGAATTGGAAGTGGAGAGGAGCCGGGATAGCTCGGGAGTGCCGTTGGTGGTGGTGACTTAACCCTACGGCTCCCTTTCTCAGGCACCCCATTCTGCCCAGGACGCCAGAGGGTGGGAATCCGCACGGGGTCAGCGCCCAGCCTGACCAAGAGGTAAAAGGAGTAGTGAAAGCCATTTTCGATTATGAGAACGTTAAGAAACACTTAAGTCCAGAAATTGGAGACGTGGACAGACAAAATAGACCCTTCTACAAAGTTGGAAAAGGTTTGCAGAAAAATCTGAAAATAAATACATTGGAGGGCTAGATAAAGGTCTCCCTTGCCGAAAGCCAGTCGAGTCCAACTCTAGAGTTGCGGTGCTCATCTCCGTTTTCAAGCCGAAGAGCCAGCACTGTCCGAAGACGTTTCCGTGTTCATGTGGCCGGCTGACTAAACACCAAGGCGCATGGAACGCTGTTACCTTCCCACTGAAGTGGTCCCTATTTATCTACTTGCAATTTCTTGCTTTCGAACTGCTAGGTTGGCAGGAGCTGGAACTAGAGATGGGAGCTCACTCCGTCATGCGGCACACTCGGGTCTCGAACTGCTGAGCTACCAACCTTCCACAGCCTGCAGGTCAGCATCTCAACCACTTGAGCCGCCGCAGCTCCATTGGAGGGCTACAACACACCAAAATAATGGAAGCAGTTCCTGTAACATAATGACACAAATTCCTTCAGTGGTCGTTGCAAGGCCACCACACAGAACTGTCAGCCTTCAAACCTTAGTTTCTGTCAGTTGGGGCAGGCAACAGTGCCCTTTAGAGGGTTGCTCTGCCCTCTGAGGGAAGCTTCCCCTCGGCCAGGCCCAGTGCCAGTCAGCACTGGCGCCAGGCCACTTGATAACATACCACTTGCATGACCCACCCAGGACAGGCTGCTTGCTGCTGTTCAACACAGACACACTGCAAACTCCACTGTGGTCTAGTGGTTAGAGTTTCAGACTATACCCTGAGAAACTTAGATTCATATCCCCACTATACTCTGGTAGCAAACTGGATGACTTTGTGCCAAAATCACACACTAACCTCCCTCACAGGATTATTGTGAGAATGGAGGAGCGCCCTGTGCCACACAGTGGCCAAAACGCAGGTGCCATTAGGAAGTCCACCGGTGGGGCCAGAACTCCAAATGCCCTCCCACTGTTGCCCCCCAAGCACCAACAATACAGAGCATCACTGCCCCAGACATAGTTTTCTGTATATAAAAAGGTAAAGGTTCCCTTGCTCGAAAGCCAGTCGAGTCCGACTCTAGGGTTGCGGTGCTCATCTCCGTTTCAAAGCCGAAGATCCAGCGCTGTCCGAAGACATTTCCGTGGTCATGTGGCCGGCATGACTAAACACCAAGGCACATGGAACGCTGTTACCTTCCCACCGAAGCGGTACCTATTTATCTACTTGCAATTTCTTGCTTTCAAACTGCTAGGTTGGCAGGAGCTGGAACTTTTTATATATACTTTGTGGCTAATGGCTACTGATGAACCTCTGCTCCATATGTTTATCTGATCCCCTTTTGAAGCTATGTTTGTACCCACCACCCCTTCCTGCAGCAGTGAATTCCACATGTTAATGACTCTTTGGGTAAAGAAGCATCCTTGAATGAAGAACCCCTTCTGGGTTGCCAGGAAAGAGAGGTAATAGCAAGGGACAGGGGTCATGGTGGAAAATGAGGTGCCCCCAGAAGCTATGCCAAACATGAAAGGAATTGGAACATGGCGGACAATGCAACCCCTAGACTCCCCCCGCCATGTGACTTTTTTGCATTGGAAACTACAGTTCAAGGTGGAAGGCACAAGTAATCAACAATAGAGCTAGGTAGTTCAATACAGGCCACCCACATCAGTATGATGGTGGGACTTGCATTGCCCAAACTGAACTATCCTGGCACAAATTATTTCTATGAAATCCCTCTGCTATTTGTAATAGAAGCAAAGGTTACTCACAAGAAACCAAGGAAGTCCTGAAGCACAGACAGGAAGGGTGGAATATATCTCTTCTCAACAAAACAAATGGGATTTAGCAACTTCCCTCGGATATCAGATTTTTTTTTTTTTTTTTTTGTGATTAGTGTCTGTCTAGGATCTAAGAGACAAAGCATTACATTCTCAGAACTGTTCCATGGACCTTTCCAGGGTAACCTGGGGTGTCTCACACTGTCTCAGCCAGACCTTACCTATAGGGCCATTCTGCAGATAAAATGGAAGGGAGGAGAATAATGTCAGCTTCTTTATGTCCAAACAGAGGAAAGATGGTGGGATGGAAAATATAAAATAGAGTCGGAAGGAACCTCCAGGGTCATCTAGTCCAACACCCTGCACAATGAAGGAAATTCACAAATACTTCACCCCACACATACCCAGTAACCCGTTCCATGCCCAGAAGATGATAAGAAGCCTCCAGGATCTCCGGCCAAACTGGCCTGGAGAAAAATTGCTTCCTGAGAACAAAGTGGCAATCAGCATTTCCCTGGGCCTGTAAGAAAGGGCCACAAGAACTAAGCACTGATGCAACCCTTCCTGACCTCCTTCTCATGAGCTGCCTAAGTCACAGAATCAGCATTGCTGTCAAATGGCCATCTAGCCTTTATTTAAAAACTTCCAAAGAAAGAGAGCCCACCACCTCCTGAGGAAGCCTGTTCCACTGAGGAACCACTCTGTCAGGAAGCTGTTCCTAATATTTAGCTGAAAACTCTTTTGATTTACCGTATTTTCCTGCGTATAAGACTACTTTTTAACCCAGGGAAATCTTCTCAGAAGTGGGGGGTCGTCTTATACGCCGGTACGCCAGAAGCATTAGCACAGCTCTATATTTTAACTGGAAAACTCTATATTTTAACTGGAAAAGTTGGGGGTCGTCTTATACGCCCAGTCGTCTTATACGCCGGAAAATACGGTAATTTCAACCCATTGGTTCTAGTCTGATCTTATGGGGCAACAGAAAACAACTCTGTACCATCCTCTAGATGACAACCCTTCAAGTACTTGAAGATGACTGTCATATCACAGTCATCTCCTGTCCAGGCTAAACATACCCAACTCCTTCAACCTTTCCTCATAGGACTTGGTCTCCAGACCCTTCACCATCTTCATCGCCCTCCTCTGGACATGTTCCAACTTGTCTGTATTTTTGAATTGTGGTGCCCAAAACTGAACACAATACCCTCTAGGTGAAGTCTAATTAGAGCAGAGTAAAGTGATACCATCACTTCGTATGATCTGGACACTGTACTTTTCTGGATACTGCCCAAAATGGCATTTGCCCTTTTAGCTACGGCATCACATTGCTGATTCATGTTCAGTGTACAGTCTACTAAGACCCCTAGATCCTTTTCGCACATACTACTCTCAAGACATGTCTCCCCTATCGTATAATTATGCATTTGATTTTTCCTACCTAAATGCAGTACTTTTCATCTATCCCTATTGGTATTCATTTTATTTTAATCCAGTTTTCCTGCCAGTATGGATCATCCTGTATCCTGATTTTGCCTTCCACCGTATTTGCTACCCCTCCCAATTTAGTGTCACCTACAAATTTAATAAGCATTCCCTCTATTCCTTCATCCAAATCATTGATAAAGATGTTGAACAAAACAGGTCCCAGGACAGATCCTTGAGGCACTCCACTTGTCACTCCTTTCCAAGAGGACAAGGAACCATTAACAGGCACTCTTTGGGTGCGATCTTTCAACCAGTTACAGATCCGCCTAACAGTAATAGGATCCAAACCACATTTTACCGGTTTGTGAACAAGATTATGTGGAACCATATCAAAAGCCTTACTGAAATCATGATAAACTATGTCTACAGCATTTCCCTGATCCAGCAAGGTAGTAACTTTCTCAAAAAAAGAGATAAGATTAGAATGACATGACTTGTTCTTGAGAAACCCATCCTGGCTCTTAGTCATCACAGCCATCCATTCTAAGTGCTCAAGGACTGACCGTTTGATGATTTATTCCTCCATGAAATTTAACCCACATTATGACAACATTTCAGATCATTCTAACTTCCTCTTGGAAAACTACAACATTCTTCATTTTCCAAGACCAATCAATCTCACTACCTTGGTGGATGAACCATAAAAAAGGGTTTTTTTTAGAGAATACAGAGAAAGGTATGTAGGTTTTGCTCCATAGGCGGTGTTTCAGATATTGGGCTGATGTGAGGCAAAGTGCGAGGATGGACAGAAAGGAGGGAAATATAAAAAACTAGACTTTTATCTCATTATACATATGACAGTGGCAAGATTATTATATGCTAAACACTGGAGAAGAAATGAAGTTCCTTCAAAGGAAGAAGTTGTAAATAAAATTCTGGAAACAGCAGAGATGGATAACCTAACTTCAATCTTGAGAGGAAATAACAAAGAATATTTTGAGGACACATGGTTAGGATTTTATAAATGGATAGAAGAGCATATCATATAAAATTCCTAGACCTATAACCAAAATTAAAGAAATAAGAGCTATACTATTTAACTGTGAGCAAAAGGTACATATTAAAATTATAAGGTGGAAAAAAGAAATGAATTCTTTGGTTACAGTATGAGGTCAATGACTATGTAAGCCACCCCCCGATATAACTGAATCTTCCCCCAGTGTGTAAGTGAGCACAGAGAAGCATCTTGTTCAGGGCAGCTACCATCATACAGGTCAGAGCTACTGTGAAGGCTGGCCCTGCCATGGGGCAGAAATGTAACCAAGCTGTACCTGGGTGTAAGCTCTGTAACTCCCCAAGAAACACACCGAATAAAGCAAAAGAAGACTTTATTGAAGAATAAATTCAAGGAAAGGAATTTTTAAAAGGCATATAACTTAGTTGCAGTAAAAGGCACAAAATAAGAAAGCGAACAAATTGCCGTTTACTGGAGACCTAAAAGAACACGCTTGGTACTTGAAACAAAGAGTCGTACAACATAATATTTTAATGACAGCAAGGAGGAATTGGGGAGAAAGGGTAAAGGAAAAGGGTAACATTTCTTCTCACTAACCATACATAGAGAAAACTGCTGGTCATCACCACCTGAGCCAATCACTGGGCAGCATTCATAGAAACTTCCAGGGTGAGAGTGAGTTCCCCCTCCCAGAAGAGATTGGCAGCTGAACCATATGAGCAAGTCAGGCAGCCTGCATGGATGGCCTGGACAAGTACCCACTATGGTATGTCTGTTTGTATGAGAGGACAGGACCTGTAGAAAGTCAGAGAATAGTGAGGTTAACTATGGTTTCTCCCTTGTGTGAACCTTTTGATGTTTAGTTAGAACAGATTTCCAAGAGAAGCACTTTCCACATTCTAAGCATTTATATGGTCTCTCCCCTGTGTGAATCCTTTTATGTTTAGTTAGATCACCATTCAAATAAAAACATTTTTCACACTCCAAGCATTTATAGGGCTTCTCCCCTGTGTGAATCTTTTGATGTCTAGTTAGGTCACCATTCCGATAAAAGCACTTTCCACAATCCAAGCACTGATATGGCTTCTCCCCTATGTGAACCATTTGATGAGTCCTCAGATTGACACTCTGCGAGAAGAACTTTCCACACTCCAAGCATTCAAATGGCTTCTCCCCTGTGTGAACCTTTTGGTGACTGGTTAGGTCACTATTATAAGGGAAGCACTTTCCACACTCCAAGCATTCAAAGGGCTTCTCCCCTGTGTGAACTCTTTGATGTCTGTTTAGGGTGTTATTCCGAGAAAAGAACTTTCCACACTCCATGCATTTATATGGCTTTTCCCCTGTGTGAACCTTCTGATGTCCAGTTAGTACGCTTTTTTGAGTGAAGCACTTTCCACACTCCGAGCATTTATATGGCTTCTCCCTTGTGTGAATCTTTTGATGTTTTGTTAGTTCACCATTCAAAGAAAAGCACTTTCCACACTCCAAGCATTTATATGGAACCTCCTCTGTGTGAAGCATTCGATGCCTGATTAGCTGGTTATTCTGAAAAAAGCACTTTCCACATTCCAAGCATTCAAATGGCTTCTCCCCTGTGTGAACATTTTGGTGCCTGTTTAAGCTGCTATTCTGAGAGAAGCACTTTCCACATTCCAAGCACTGATATGGCTTCTCCCCTGTGTGAACCTTTTGATGTCCAGTTAGTATGCCTTTTTGAGAGAAGCACTTTCCACACTCCAAGCATTTATGTGGCTTCTCTCCCGTGTGAACTGTTTGATGTCTGATCAGGGTGCTCTTCCGGGAGAAGCACTTTCCACAGTCCTTACATTTATATGGCTTTCCCCCTGTGTGAACCTTTTGATGTGTAGTTAGTTTACCACGCCGAGAAAAGCACATTCCACACTCCATGCATTTATGTTGTTTCTTTCCTGTGTGAACCCTTTTATGTTTAGTTAGGTCACCATTCCAAGAGAAGCACCTTCCACACTCCAAACATTTATATGGCTTCTCCCCTGCGTGAACCCTTTTATGTTTAGTTAGGTCACCATTCCAAGAGAAGCACTTCTCACACTCCAAACATTTATATGGCTTCTCCCCCGTGTGAATCTTTTGATGTATGGTTAGGCTGCCATTTTGAGAGAAGCACTTTCCACACTCCAAGCATTTATATGGCTTCTCCCCCGTGTGAATCTTTTGATGTGTAGTTAGTTCACCACGCCGAGAGAAGCACATTCCACACTCCATGCATTTATGTTGTTTCTTCCCTGTGTGAATCTTTTGATGTGTAGTTAGTTCACCACGCCGAGAGAAGCACATTCCACACTCCATGCATTTATGTTGTTTCTTCCCTGTGTGAATCTTTTGATGTGTCCTTAGTATGCCTTTCCAAGAAAAGCACCTTCCACACTCCAAGCATTTATATGGTTTCTCCCCTGTGTGAATCCTTTGATGTGTAGTTAGGCTGCTTTTCTGAGAGAAATACTTTCCACAATCCAAGCATTTATATGGCTTCTCCCCGGTGTGAATCTTTTGATGTCTCAGTAGGCTGCTATGCACAGAGAAGCACTCTCCACACTCCAAGCACTTATATGGCTTCTCCCCTGTGTGACTCCTTTGATGCAGAGTTAGTGCACTACTCCAACGGAAGCTCTTCCTACATTCCAAGCATTTATACCTTTTCCAGCATGTTGTAACATTCTCAACTGTTTTTACACTCAATTTGCAGATGAACGTTTTCTGATTCATGGCACCATTGTGCCTTCTCTTTCTCTTCCCTGTTTCATCTTGGGCTAAGACCTCAGGCTTATTTCGTTTCTGAGAGGCAAACAATTCCTTAGTTTGCTTGTCTTTTGCTTCCTTTTTTCTTCTACAGTGTCTCTTTGGAACCACTTGATCTTCAAATTTTGCTTCCACCTTCAGATCATTGTCTTTTTCTAAAATTCTCCACCTTGATTCTTTCTCACTCACCATCTCCCTCCCATCTCCAACTGCAAAAGGGAAACAGAAATCAAATAAGAATGAAAAGGTACAAATACCAGTTAAGAGGTAAAGGGAGCAGGGAAAGCCACTTTCTACAATGAGAATGTGGGGCCTAAAAACCCTTCAGCAATATTTAACCCCACACCAGGCTGTCCTGGAAAAAGAGAAATGGTGACCAAAGGAAAACGGAGGGGATTTCTCACTTCTTTTGTAGAACTTTGCTATTGAGATCACATTAAGGATAATTGATTTTCTGGTGCTGATTTAGGGAACAGATAAAACAGCATAGAAAAAGAAATACCTTAAAAAACTTGAATTTTATTGAAATATTTCTGATTATATGAAAGGAATAATATATAGAAACACTTAAATCCAGAAACTGGAGACATGGACAGACATAATAGATCTTTCTACAAAGTTGAACAATCACCCAGGTTTGCAGAAAAATCTGGGGGAAAAATACATTGGGAGGCTACAATGCACCAAAATAATCGAAGCTATACCTGTAACACGTGAAACAAATGCCTTCAAGTGGACAGTACAAGGCCACCACATAGAATTATCAGCCTTCAAACCTCGGTTTCTGTCATTTAAAGGCAGGGGCCGGCTCTATACTCTGAGGGAAGCCTCCCCTGGGCCAGGCCCATTGCCAGTCAGCACTGGCGCCAGGCAACTTAAGAACATAAGAGACACCAATGTTGGATCAGGCCAAAGGCCCATCTCCAGTCTAACACTCTGTATCACACAGTGGCCAGAAATACCAGTGCCATCAGGAGGTCCACCAGTGGGGCCAGGACACTAGAAGCCCTCCCACTGTTGACCCCCCCCCAAGCACCAAGATGACAGAGCATCACTTGCCCCAGAGCCCCTATCTATACCTTGTGGCTAATAGCCACTGATGGACCTCTGCTCCATATGCTTATCTAATTCCCTCTTGAAGCCGTCCATGCTTGTAGCCACCACCACCTCCTGTGGCAGTGAATTCCAAGTGTTAATCACTCTTTGGGTGAAGAAGTACTTCCTTTTATCTGTTCTAACCCGACCGCTCAGCAATTTCATACCACACAACTTGATACCACCTCACCCAGGACCGGCTGCTTGCTACTGTTCAACACAGCCACGCTTCAAACCCCAGTGTGCTCTACTGGTTAGAGCAGGGGTGTTGAACTTGTTTGTTATGAGGGCCGGATCTGACGTTAATGTTACTTTTTCAGGCCGGGCCGTGTGTGCCATAAAATGTAACACAAGGTACTGGAGACAGTGAAGGAGATAAAACAAATAAACCTAAGCTTTTCTAGTAGAGCTAAGCACACAGAATCAAGGTTCCAGTTACCATTCAGGTTCTACAGAGGCAGTCAGTTCCAGCCAGACAAGATGATCACGACTTAGCAATCAAGTGGGATGCCACACTGGGAGTTGTATGGCCAATGACATACTGCCAGGCCAAGGAGTCACCAAGCTCCTAGCCATAGTGCAAAGACTTAATTTATGGAAAAGGTCTCTGATCGACCCCAGGCCTGTTGGCCAATCAGACACCTGAGAGGTGATGTAACTCTCTTTGGTTGCTAGGCATGTGACATCCAAGGATGGACAAGAGGGAGGGAGAGAAACGAAACCGTACTGCAGATAGGTCCGCCCCATTCCCACACAGGTGTCCATAGTTCCAGATGTTTGGAATGTACTAATTGTGTCCTGTTACTCCCTGATACTTCAGGGGCAAACAATTGAGCTGGCAACGTCACTGTGCACTATCTACTTCTCAACCATCTCTAACTGTTTCTGGGAAAATTCTTGTAGGCCTCTCAGCAGTCTGAACCAAAGATTTTATTTTACAGAGTAAGACAAGGAACCATTTTTCTTTACATGGCTTTAAATTTGTGAGCGAGTAATTTGGCTGCTGCATAAATCAGTTCGCTCTGGAGCCATCCTTCCTGAGCTATGACAAAAATGTGTGTGCCAGAGGCTAGAAAACTCTTGAGGTAGCTCACACTAACTCAGCTTAGAGGGAACACTTGTAGTGACTCACAAAAGCACATACCCTACCACAGTTTTGTTAGTCCTTAAAGGTGCTACTGGACTTTTACTCTTTCTACTACTATTAGAAACCACAGCATTAAAGAACCTAAATGTAGCAGTTCTCTTACAAAGGAATTTCAAAGGGAGATTAAAAAGAGAAACTGATGAATTGCAACTGATCATGAAGCTCAATGCAAACTCCTGGACTGAATTGAGACCTAGGTTTCTTCTCTCATTACCAATGCCTGATATTGTCTTTTGGAGTATGAAATCACTTCACTCTCCAAGATATAAGGACAGATGGACTCACATTCCAGCTGTATTTAAAGAAGTGAGCAATGATTCATGAAAGTTCATGCCCTGCCACAAATTTTGTTAGTTATTAAGGTGCTGCTGGACTCTTGCTCCCTTTCACTAATAAGGAATGCAAGCTGTACTGTTCGGTTTCTCTCCCCTATCTGTTAGAAATCGGTTTCTCTCCCCTATCTGTTAGAAATGGAAAGCAGGATCTCTCCAAGTGACATGGGACTCCTCCCCCATCTCTGGTGTGCTCTCTCTGGCTCCCCCCCCCCCCGAAGAAGTGTACTTGCCCACAAAAGCTTATACCTGGAATAAAACGTTTTTGGTCTTAAACACAGGACTCTCCCCCTCTTTCTCTCTCTCTCTCATACCTGGAATAAAACATTTTTGGTCTTAAACACAGGGCTCTCTCTCTCTCATCTAGAATAAAACATTTTTGGTCTTAAACATAGGACACTCTCTCTCTCCCCCCATACCTGGAATAAAACATTTTTTGGTCTTAAACACAGGACTCTCTCTTTCTCTCTCTCATACCTGGAATAAAACGTTTTTGGTCTTAAATACAGGACTCTCTCTCTCTTTTTTTGGTGTGCTTCCTCTGGCTGGCTAGCTCCCTCCCTCCGAAGAAAAAAAAAGTGTACTTATACCTGGACTACGACCCACACCATTCCCCCGCCTCTGGCTCTTTTCCTCCCCCTCCCTTCCCCAGAGGAGGGGGGAGGAGCCCTTAGCCAATTGAGGGAAGGCTTTCTTTCTCTCTCTGAAGCAGGAAATAGGAAAGACTGGCCAAAAGGAGCTGCAATGTAAGAAACAGGAAGCAGCACACAGCCAGTTGCTCTCGGGTCAGATTGGGGCCTTGCAGGGGCTGGATCCGGCCCACGGGCCATATGTTTGACACTCCTGGGTTAGAATTTCAGACTATATCCTGAGAAACAGGCAGAGCAATTGGGGGGGGGGGCTGAAAGCACTCTGGGAGCTAAGTAACCACTATGCTGGTATAAGTCCCATTTATGCAGACATAACGGACTTTTATGATGGCACAGGCCCCCAGTGGCACTCTGTTGTACGTGGGCGTCAGCAGCAGGCCGTCGCAATCGCTTGTCGGTACAACGGAGATATAGGCCCTTTCACTGGTGTGGTTGTCGGCGGTTTGGGGTGTGTGGCCAGAGTTATTCAGCTCTCTAAAGCCCTTTCAGTCTAGGAATACCTCCTGCTAGAGGCAGAAAGTTGTGCCAACAAAAACCATAGCATAGCCCAAGGGTGACCACTGAACGTGAAAATCAAATCATCCCTCACTGCTGCAGCCCCGCCCATTAGAAGAAGAGTTGGCTTTATACCCCGTTCTTCACCTGGAGTCTCAGAGCAGCTTACAACCTCCTTCCCTTCCTCTCCCCACAACAGACACCCTGTGAGGTAGGTGGGGCTGAGAGAGCTCTTTCGAGAACTGCTCTTGAGCGAACAGCTCTGAGAGATATCTAGGAAGGAATTGTACTGAAAATACTTATCATTATAGGGCAAAAATATGGCTCAAGACTCAAGAGAAGATAAGGTGTTAACCCACGGACGGCACAGTGGTCTTTCCCTTATGAAAAGAATACTATGAGTGCAGTGAGCTACAGGGTTGGTGAGGGGGATGAGAGGGTGGGGGTCTGGTCTGTATTTAACAAGGGATGTGTCTTTCTGTCCACCTTTTGGTGGCAAGTAGCTGCGGTGGCTCGAGTGGTTAAGACGCTGAACTGCAGGCTGTGGAAGGTCGGTAGTTCAGCAGTTCGAGACCCGGCTAGGCCGCATGATGGGAGTGAGCTCCCGTCTCTAGTTCCAGCTTCTGCCAACCTAGCAGTTCGAAAGCAAGACATTGCAAGTAGATAAATAGGGACCACTTCAGTGGGAAGGTAACAGCGTTCCATGCGCCTTGGTGTTTAGTCATGCCGGCCACATGACCACGGAAACGTCTTCGGACAGCGCTGGCTCTTCGGCTTTGAAACGGAGAGGAGCACCGCAACCCTAGAGTCAGACTCGACTGGCTTTCGAGCAAGGAAAACCTTTACCTTTACACCTCCTGAAGAATCAAGGCTAGGCATTGGAAAACTGGCCACCAGCTTTAGGATGATCATGGGAGTAGCAGTGTCAAAAATAAAGGCAAGCACAACATCCTGGCCCAGGTTATAGCTGTGTTGTTTCAAACGGAAGCAGAGGTTTACCAGAGACGGGGTGGTGGAAATATCCCCTTCTGTACAAGACAAAGAGGATTCAGCACCTTCCCTGAGCTACCAGATCCCGTGTGGTGTAATGGTTAGATTGTCTGCCCAGGATCTCAGAGACTCCGCTTCAAATACCCAGGGGACTCTTCCATGGATGTTTCCTAGGTGACCTTGGGCCAGTCACACTGCCTCAGCCAGACTGATCTCACAGGGTTGTTGTGAGGATAAAATGGAGGAGGAAGAGTGATGTAAGCTGCTTTGGGTCCCCATTGGGGAGGGATAGGGGGTTGAATCGAACCAAATACCTCTGCTTCTCATTGTGGAAGTGACGGCTGCCAGTTTTTGACAGGGAGAAATCATGAGGAAAATATATGCATCCAAACAAACTATGGGGCTGGTGAGGAGAAAAAACAGTTCAGATCTGGAGAAAATAAACAAATGATCACTAGCCATGATGACTGAAGGGAACCTCCGCATTCAGAGGCAGTAAACCACAGTAAGCCCCAGATGGAGCTCTTCCGCAGGCCTTTAGTTGAGGGAGTGTTCTAATGAGGATAAAGAGGATGTGGGCATGGTTGGTGCCTGGCTTGGTTCCTACAGGGACTTGCTCTGAACTGGCTAAGGAAGAGCAGAACTTTAGTTGTTGTAGATTTTCCGGGCTATATGGCCATGGTCGTGGCATTGTAGGACCTGCCGTTTCTCCAGCGGCTGCGACCGGCATCCTCAGAGGTATAACACGGGAAGATGTATAACAATAGGAGCCGCCACCACCATGGTACCATCTACGCCCCAAGTCTTGTGGACAGAGTCAACATGATGTGGGCACCTTGAAAAGAGGATGAGACTTTAGGAGATCGCCATCTTGTCCCTACGAAGTGAGCACCAGATACTGTTCTGTTTGTATGATGTTTTAATATTTGATATTATTTAATATTTTTAATGTTTTATTGTTGTATCATATTGGCAAAGCCTTGTAAGCCGCCCTGAGCCTACGGGGAGGGCGGGATAAAAATCTAAATAATAAATAAATAAATAAACAAGGAAAGTATTCCATCTCTAGAGTACTCCATCTCTCTGTGTCACACCTCTGAGGATGCCAGTCACAGCTGCTGGCGAAACGTCAGGTCCTACAATGCCAAGACCACGGCCACACAGCTCGGAAAATCTACAACAACTAATGAACTCCGGCTGTGAAGGCCTTCGACAACATAATGAAGAGCAGAACGTTAGGAGGAAAAGCACTTCTGCCTCCCGAATCCCCACTCATCACCTGGTACCTGGCTGTAGTGTGTCTCTTGGCTGGCTTCTCTTCGCTAGCCTACCACCTTCCTCACAGTTGACTCTCATGTTCTCCTCCGCCAAGGTTTTGCCTGGAACCTTCCCTCAAGCCCAGCCTATTCAACTCCTTGGGGTGGAGCCTCGGGAGGACCTCAGGCGGGGGCCCTTCTCAGCCCTGCAACGAATTATTTTCCTCCCTAAACCCCCTTTTTCAAGAGGACCGAACCATGGACTTTCCAAAGGTAGATCATAAAGGTCCGCCACTGAGCCAGGGCCCCTCCTGTGGCCTAGTCGGATCAATGATGCCTTTCCTCCTCTCCTCCCATCAGCCTCATTCACTGAAACAGAGGACTGTGGGAGAAGTAGTCTGTGTAAAAATAGAAAGGCAGAAGAAGAAAAGAAGAACTGCAGGGATCTCCTAGCAGGAACCTAACCGGATATCATCCATCTCTCCCCATCAGAGCCCTCCTCATCAACAGGCTTCTCTTTATGACACCAAAGTATTTTATGCTTTCTTCTTCAAGCCCTGTAAGATCCCCAAGTATGGGAGCCCCGTTCTTTCCTCTGTGGCAAACGGAAGTGTGTCCTGGAATCAAAGAGGGTCAAAGGAAGATGCCACCCTCTCCCTTCTCTTCCATGATCACTACAGAAGGGAAACGATCCTTACCCAGAGAGGCCACAGTCTCATAATTTTCCACCATCACTTCCCAGTAGAGTTTCCTTTGGCCTGGATCCAGAAGAGCCCATTCCTCCTCCATGAAGAACACGGCTACCTCCTCAAAGGACACCGGGGATCTCTGAAAGAGGAAAATAGGGACCCAGTTGATTGTCTATTCCTGTTCCGTAACATGCAAGAAAGAATCCCATCGGACACTCAACCAATTAAAAAGTGCAGTATATCAAAACATTGGCAGAAAAAACTGAATTCATTTCCTTTTCAGCCTCTGATAGGCATAATATACGGAAAGTCTCCAAGAAATATAAACTCGGAAAATTGCACAGTGCTTCTGTTGGTCAAATTCCCTTAAAACTCAAGTCCAATCAAAAGTAGAAAAACCTGATGGTACGAGTATCTACTGTACTATCTTGCACATTTCACACCAGAAATACCTCCTTTTCTAGCCCCCAAAATAGGTGGAAGTTGTGTTTCAGTACATGACGTGTTTGACACCAGAGGCCTTCTGTGTAACTCTAAATATTACATCCAGCTCTGTAACCATGAAACTAGTCTAATAAAATTAATCTTGTTCTATTTTCCCCCTAACAAACCAAAGACCTATTCACCCCAGGCCTTGTGATCCTTTGGGGCTTGGTGGGTGAGAGGTGTGGGGCACAAAACAACCAAGCACAAACCTGCTGCCTCGGAGACCTTTCCAGATATTTGTGCAATGTGGAATAACGGCAAATGGTACATCACGTCCTTGAACTGCAAGTAAACTACTGCATCACCTCAACAGATTCTGGACTTTTACAATAGAAATGCCTTAAGGCAAAGAGAAACGTGTCTGTGTGTGTTTGTGTGTGTGTAAGTGCCGTCAAGTTGCTTCAGAGTTATGGCGACCCGATGAATTAATGTCCTCCAAAATATCCTATCGTTAACAGCCTTGCTCAGGTCTTGCAGACTGAAGGCCCTCATGGCTTCCTCCACTGAGTCAAGACATCTCATGTTGGGTCTTCCTCTTTTCCTGCTGCTAGGGCTGCCAACTTCCAGGTAAGAACATAAGAGACGCCAATGTTGGATCAGGCCAAAGGCCCATCCAGTTCAACACTCTGTATCACACAGTGGCCAGAAATACCAGGTGCCATCAGGAGGTCCACCAGTGGGGCCAGGACATTAGAAGCCCTCCCACTGTTGACCCCCACAAGCACCAAGAAGACAGAGCATCACTTGCCCCAGAGCCCCTATCTATACCTTGTGGCTAATAGCCACTGAAGGACCTCTGCTCCATATGCTTATCTAATTCCCTTTTGAAGCCGTCCATGCTTGTAGCCGCCACCACTTCCTGTGGCAGTGAATTCCATGTGTTAATCACTCTTTGGGTGAAGAAGTACTTCCTTTTATCCGTTCTAACCCGACCACACAGCAATTTCATGGAGTGCCCACGAGTTCTTGTACTGTGAGAAAGGGAGAAAAGTACCTCTTTCTCTACCTGCTCTTTCCCATGCATAATCTTATAAACCTCAATCATGTCACCCCTCAGTCGTCGTTTCTCCAAGCTAAAGAGCCCTAAGCACCTTAACCTTTCCTCATAGGGAAAGTGTTCCAACCCTTTTATCATTCGAGTTGCCCTTTTCTGCACTTTTTCCAAAGCTATAATATCCTTTTTAAGGTGTGGTGACCAGAACTGCACACAGTATTCCAGATGAGGTCGCACCATTGATTTATATAGGGGCATTATGATATTGGCTGATCTGTTTTCAATACCCTTCCTAATAATCCCCAGCATAGCATTGGCCTTCTTTATTGCAGTCACACACTGTCTCGACATTTTCAGTGAGTTATCTACTACAACTCCAAGATCTCTCTCTTGATCAGTCTCTGCCAGAAAAAAAAGCCGACAAGGGGGTGAAAAACACAAGTACCCCACCCCCACCGCAGGATCTTATCAAGAAGCCTCTCTCCCAATGTGATGCACTGTATTCTTGGTGCCTGGGCGGGGGGGGGGGGCAACAGTGGGAGGGCTTCTAATGTCTTGGCCCCACTGCTGGACCTCCTGATGGCACCTGGTATTTTTGGCCACTGTATGACAGTGTTGGACTAGATGGGCCATTGGCCTGATCCAACATTGGCTTCTCTCTTATGTTCTTATGATGCTCCCTCCAACCAGCTCTTCCTCCTCCTCTCTGGTTCACACATATTTTCTCTTCCCTCCCTTATTTTGCCCCTCAGCTGCTGCTGAAATCCTAAACTCACCTTTCCTGTAGACATGCAAAAGGCAAATTCACTCTCCAGCCGGGGGAAACAAGAAAGAAGTGAGGCCCTGCAGAACTGCACATTCCATACATTTCCATCTCCATCTCGAGGAAAAAACGTGCTCTGGACACCTTGAAAAGTCAGGGTTGACCTCTCTGGTGCTCGCAAGGCCTTCTGGGAAAGGTGGTCCCCTGCAACAGCAACACCCAAGCAGAATTTTAAAAAACTGAAATATTTGTGAACGTAGCATAGAAGGTTTCTTTGCTTACTTATCACTGTGTCAGGCAGCCTCCTGTGTGCGTGAATAAACCTTCTTTCTTGCTTTATGAGATCTCCTGCTCCAGTGATCTCTGCCCTCTTCAGGCTCGATACAAAACTTAACTCACAGCAGCAACCCAAAGCCTTTACACTCCTTGCCCTACCAGCATCTTGTCATTAAGGGAAGCCTCATGCCACGAGAACACAATGGAAATAGTGTGGAAGTGCCTCCTAAAATTCAAAGGAAGATGCCACCTGCCCCGTCTCTTCTGTGTTCATAATAAAAACAAAAGAGCCTCACCCAGAGAGGCCACGGCCTCATAATTTTCCATCATCACTTCCCAGAAGAGTTTTCTTTGGTCTGCATCCAGCAGAGCCCATTCCTCCTCTTTGAAGAACACGGCTACCTCCTCAAAGGACACCGGGGGTCTCTGAAAGAGGAAGAAATATGGCCCAGTTCCCCTGAGCTTTCAAGAAGCAAAGTTGTCTGCTCAATGGATTAAAAGAATGGAGTACATCAAACCAATGGCAAGGGAAATTGCATTAACTTTTTTGAGCCTCTGAAATACACTGGTAGTCTCTAAGAAATACAAATTCAGAAAATTGTGAAGGTAAACATCTTGCAGAAAAATTACTAAATTGGGGGGGGGGGGGAGAGATTATCTATCCACAATAAAACGAAAGCCAGGAGCCTCAAAACTGGCCACCAGCTTCAGGATGACTGTGGGGACTGCAGTGCCCAAAATGAAGGAAATGGAAATATCCTGGCCCAGATTGATTAACAACAAAAAAAATCCCTGTAATCTTTTGCAATGTAAGTGTTGTTTTACTCCAGAGAAGCCAGGAAGGCGGAAGCCGCACAAGGAGGGAGAATGGAGTTAATTCCCTCCTTAACGAAAGATACCTTCAGACCAGTTTCCAATTCAGAGATCTTCTTAAGGATGGTGCTCTTTGGGATCATTCACCAGATACAACAACTGTGGGTACTGAAAATACAATCCCGAGAGCAAAACGTGGCCAAATGCCTCTCTGAGGAACAAGCCTGTGAAGCATGCAAAAAAAGAAGAAAAAGAAGCAGCAGCAGCAGCAAGTGCAGCCAGCTAAGGGGCCTCCAGTAAGAAGAGACAATGAACCTTGCTGGAACAGGCCGGGAGTCCATCAAAGTTTTAAGAATAAAATCAGCCCAGGCTGGCTGCAGGGAACTCAGTCAAGTGGGTGAGGGGGAAATCAGCGCATGCACACACAGATCTTGCCTCTGATCTGTGATTCTATCTCCATGCTTCCTCTGGACACTTCTTAGTTCGTCTTCCTCTCATTCACGCGTATTTTCTCTCCCCTCCCCTAGAGTTAATCAAGAGCCGAAACTCACCTTTCCTGCAGACGTGCAAAAGCCAAATTCTCTCTCCAGCTGGGAGAACGGAGAAAGAAGAGAGGCGGTGACGAATTCCATGTCCCCCAACTTTCCTTCTCCACCTGGATGAAAAACCGCCCCCATCAACACCTTGGGAAAGCCAGGGCACCACCCCCTATATATAGGGGGTGGTAGGGGGTGGTGGCCAGGGTCGACCTCTCTGCTCTGGGGCTCTCTAGGCCTTCTGGGAAATGTAGTTTCCCAGACGGCCTAGAGAGCCCCAGAGCAGAGAGGTCAACCCTGGGAAATGTAGTTTCCCAGACCCAGACAAAAGAATACGGCAGAAGTGTTTGGAAAGAGAAGGCGACTTTGCTTTTCAGTGGCTCTGTGGGGCAGCTTCCTTTGACGGCCCCACTGTATTGAGAGACAAGTTGGTGAAATCCTGAAAAAAGAGACAGAAGTTGGGGGTGGTGAAGAACATCTTTTCTGTTCAAATCTTCAAGTGTTTCTAAGGGCACTTTGTTCTTTTCCTGTTTTGCTGAGAACTGCTCTTTTTCAAGTATTAACATATTAAAGGGACTGAAAGGTTTTCCAAGAGAGGGCAGGAAAGAAAGATTCCCCATTTCTCCAGGGTGTGAGGGTCCTTTCTAAGCCGGCTGGGGAAATGGGAAAGGCACAGCCAGGAAGGGTCTCTCTAGCCTCTCCTTTGTGGTCTGAAATGTTTATGTTATACTGGAAAGGGAGATGCAGCTTGCGAGGAAATTTCCTGGTTATTTTCACCCCCTCCTCATGCCCTATGTTCCTTAGTAAAGGTAAAGGTTCCCTAAGGTAAAGGTTCCCTTGCTTGAAAGCCAGTCGAATCCGACTCTAGGGTTGCGTTTCCAAGCCGAGGAGCCAGCGCTGTCCGAAGACGTTTCCGTGGTCATGTGGCCGGCATGACTAAACACCAAGGCGCATGGAACGCTGTTCCCTTCCCACCGAAGTGGTCCCTATTTATCTACTTGCAATTTCTTGCTTTTGAACTGCTAGGTTCAAGAGCCAGTTTGACGTAGTGGTTAAGTGCGCGGACTCTAATCTGGGAGAACCGGGTTTGATTCCCCAATCCTCCACTTGCACCTGTTGATGTGACCTTGGGTCAGTCACAAGCTCTGGCACAGCTGTCCTTGAAAAAGAGCAGTTTGTGTCAGAGTTCTCTCAGCCCCACCCACCTCACAGGGTGCCTGTTGTGGGGAGGGGAAGGGAAAGGAGTTTGTAAGCCACTCTGAGACTCCAAGTGAAGGGCGGGGTATAAATCCAATCTCTTCTTCTTCTTCTAGGTTGACAGGAGCTGGAACTAGAGACGGGAGCTCACTCTGTCATGCAGCACCCGGGTCTTGAACTGCTGAACTACTGATCTTCCACAGCCTGCAGTTCAGCATCTTAACCACTTGAGCCACTGCAGCTCCTTAGCAGACCCCATTTTATTTCCTCTGATAGCAAACTTGGTGTCTCCCTGCCCATTCCCTCTGCAACCAAAACGGGCCAGGCCAGGATGGCGAGAGATGCTCCTTCTCCTTATGCTGGTTTTCCACTCAGGAGGCTGAAATCGGTTCCCAGTTCCTTATTTGTTCCGTATCCATTCAAAAACATTCAGGATTGTTTAAAAGCTCTGAACCCCAAAATAACGTTTGGAGCATCACACATCATATACCCCCAAGTTCAGGGGACTTTGCCCTTTGAGAGGACATAAGCTGTTTCTTGGTCCAAAGTCCGATTCTTGTGCCAGCTGCTCCAAAGTTGGGGGCCCCCAGGACAGTGGCACAGGGAGACCCTGGGGCCAGGCTGCACCCCAAAACAGTCTTTGCACCATCCCAAATGACACATCCCCACACTCAGGAGACTGTTTCCTGCAAGAAGACATACACTGGCCCCGGTCACACGAGCCAGATATCGCGGGGGGGGGGGGGGGGGAGGCATGGCTGTTTGCCCCGGAGCGAACTACTGCGCAGCCGCTGGATTAAACGCCGACGTCCCGTGATTCGGGGGGAGGTGCCAATCATACGTCAATCCTGCAGAAGCGGCGCGGCGGGGGTTGTGGGGTTTTTTTAACCGAGGGTGTGCATGTGCCGTTGGGGGCTTGTGCGCATCCCGTGGAGACTTGGGGGGAAAAAACCCTTTTCGCGACGGGACATGGGCGGGCGCCAGATGCCACGAGCTACCACTGGAAACGTGATCAAACGCCCGCCCTTGCCCCGTGGTTTCCGGAAACTAGTGCCTCGGAGGTACTAGTTTTTTACGGCGCATCTTCGGCGGGAAGCCTCGGGTTAGCCAAGGGAGCTCTACGCTTCCCAGATGTTGCGGTTTGATCGCACCCAGAAAATCTGCCTATCTTCCGTCCCTCTAGCGTGGCTAATGCTCCATGTGACCACAGCCACTGGTACCTGGTCCAAACACTGTTTCTGGCACTACAAGCTTCAAGGCCATTTAGTCACTGACTGAGAAATGGCATTCCTCAAAGAAGCTTCAGGGGGTGATTACAAAGTGAGACTGCTGAACTGAAATTCATTCACATTCAGACCCATGAGGGCTGAATGAATTATCTCAGTACAAATGCTAATCTACACCCAAGCATTTCCCCTCTGTTCTGCTCAAGCTCATTACAATGTGCATTGCTCCTCTGCATCCTGACTCCTTTCTCTGTAACACCATCCCCACCTTCTGACTGGGATGTGAGGACTCAGAGATTTCCATTTCGACTGTTTTCAAAGCTATGTCAGGCGCTCAGTAAATGTGCATCTTCACATGTGAGGTTGGCTCTTTAAATCATTCTGCCCTAGGGGAAATGCCTTGGGAAAGCAGACTTAATGATCCCACCTTTCTTTGAACATTTTTCTTTTTTTAAAATATTTTTATTTTAAAAACAATAGTAAAAGGGATACAAAAGAAAAAAGGGATTATATAACAAGTTATATATATCAAAGATTACTATACATTGCACGGTATATCAAACAAGAAATTGAACATTTCTCTACCCAGCATCCCCTTCATCACAGTTTTGGACATTTTCTTTAAGGTACAATGATCCTTTCTTTGAACATTTTAAGTCTCAAATGTTGTTACTGATCTATTTTGCAACATGATTATTAATTTCATCATTACTGCGTATTCTATATTTCAGTTCATCATTTTTACATACTATCGATAACTTTAATATACCAAAGTTCAATTAAAAAAAACCCTTATGGATCACTTGTGTATCACACATGGGTGTTCACTGTGTCTATGCAGACACGTATCCACCCAGTGCTGCGGGAACTGCACTGGCTGCCTATTGAGTACTGGATCGGGTTCAAGGTGCTGGTGTTTACCTTTAAAGCCCTAGAAGGCCGGGGCCAGCATATCTTCGGGACTACCTCTCCCCATATGAGCCGTGCAGGAATTTGTGATCTATTAATCAACATCTCCTGATGGTTCCCAGCCCCAGGGACGTCCGACTTGCCTCAACCTGGTGGAATGAGCTCCCATTAGAAATCAGGGCCCTGCGGGACCTGTTACAGTTCCTCAGGGCCTGAAAGACTGAGCTCACCCACCAGGCTTTTAACGGAGGCAGAGGACATCCACCTGCTAATTGGCCTCCCCTCTAGTGACCTCACATCCGAATGGCCACCTGGGAACCGACTGCTCCATGCTGGGATCTGTTGAAGCACTGGTTTTATTTAACTGATTGCTGTTTTTAGATTGTTTACATATAGTTTAATTATCGATTGTTATATTGTCCATTTCATGATGGAACCTGACCTAAGCCTGTTTGCAGGGAGGGTAGGATACTAATCGAATAAAATAGATAAATAAAAAGAGGGTTTTAGAGAACAGAGAAAAATACATAGGTTTTGCTTGAGAGGGGTTGCTAAATATATTTGGCTGAGGTGAAGAAAAGTGGGGGGGGGTAGACAGAAAGGAGGGAAATGGCACAGAGATGGGTCTCATCCAGGGCAGCTACCATAAACTAGGTAGAACTACTGTCAAGGCTGTAACGCTGTTTTGCTGAGGGAATGTAACCAAGCTGTACCTGGATGCAGTCTCAGTAAGTCCCAAGTAACACCCACAATAAGCGAAAGAACACTTTATTAAAGAAATTCAAGCAAAGGTATAAAACAAGGCATTAGGTTCAGTGGTAGTAAAGTAAGAAATAAAGGCACAAATAAGAAATAGAACTAGCTAGCTGTTACTAGAGTCCTGACACAGCACAGTTGGGTCTTGAAACAGAGCAGAATACAAGTACTTTATAAGTCTCTTGATAGAAGAATCTTGTATAGCAGCAAGGAAGGGTGGGGGGAAAAGCAAAAAGGTAACACCTCTTACTACCCATACTTATCTGTGTGCCGTTAAAGGTTTGATTTGATTTGAACCATACTTATAGAAAACTGCAGGCCATAACCTCTGACATCCTCAACCAATAATTGGGCAGCATTCATGGAATTTTCCAGAGTGAGAGCGCGTCCCCCCTCTCATACCAGATTCACAGCCTAACTGTGTGAGCCTAATTAACAGGCCTGAGTGGATGGCCTTGCCAAGTATCTGCCAGTGTATATGTGTGCGTTGGGGGCAGGATGACTAAAACCTGCAGAAAGTCAGGGAACAGTGACGTTAGCTGGAGCAGATTGGAAAACTCCTTTATGGTGGCTTCTGTCTTGAAAGCTACAAACTGATACTTTCTCTAGTTTCCTACATGCTAACTGTAATTGGAAGGCTCTTCCCCTGTGTGAATCTCGTGGTATAAGGTCTTAACTCTTACTGAACCTCTGTCCATAACTTCAGGCATTTATATGGCTTCTCCCGTTTGGATCCTTTGATGTTCAGTTAATAACCTACTGCATAGTCCATAGTCCAGGCATTTATAACACTTCTCCCGTGTGAATTTTTTGACGTGCAGATAGGTTGAAATTAAGAGAGAACCACTTTCCACACTCCAAGCATTTACATGGCTTCTTTCCTGTATGAATCTTTTGATGTTCAGTTAGGCTGCCATTCCGAGAAGTAATTACCACACTACAAGCATTTATATGGCTTCTCCAATGTGTGAGCCTTTTTATGTTTGTTCAAGAAACCAATTTCCACAGTCCAAGCATTTTACATGACTTCTCCCCTGTGTGAACCTTTTGATTTTCAGTTAGGGCATCATTCCAAGAGAAGCAGTTACCACATTACAAGTACTCATATGGCTTCTCTTATGTGTGAACATTTCTATGTGAAGTTAGATCACCATTCCAAGAGAAGCACTTTCCACACTCCAAGCATTTATATGGTTTCTCCTGTGTGAACCTTTTGATGTCTAATCAGGGCACCATTCTGATAGAAGCCCTTTCCACACTCCAAGCATTTATATGGCTTCTCACCTGTATGGATCTTTTGATGTGAAGTTAGGCGGCAATTCTGTGAAAAGCACTTTCCGCATTCTAAGCATTTATATGGTTTCTCCCCTGTGTGAACCTTACGATGTACAGTTAGGGTGCTATTTTGAGAAAAGCACTTTCCACACTCCAAGCATTTATATGGCTTCTCCCCTGTGTGAACCATTAGATGTGCAGTTAGGTGGCCTTTCTGAGAAAAGCACCTGCCACATATCAAGCATTTGTATGGTTTCTCCCCTGTATGAATCTTTTGATGTACAGTGAGGTCACCATTCTGAAAAAAGCACTTTCCACATTCCAAACATTTATATGGTTTCTTCCCTGTGTGAAACTTTTGATGTGCATTTAGGTCACCATTCCGAAAGAAGCATTTTCCACATGTTAAGCATTCATATGGTTTCTCCCCTGTATGAATCTTTTGATGTGCAATTAGGTTGCCCTTCTGAAAAAAGCACTTTCCACACTCCAAGCAATTATACAGCTTCTCACCTGTATGAATTTTTTGATGCCTGGTTAGGCTGCTGTTCAGAGAGAAGCACTTTCCACACTCCAAGCAATTATATGGCTTTTCTGCTGTGTGAACCTTCTTATGTATATTTAGAGTTCCATTGTGAGAAAAGCACTTTCCACATTCTGAGCACTGATATGGCTTCTCACCGGTGTGAACCTTTTGATGAACAGTTAGGCTGCCGTTATAAGAAAAGCACTTTCCACACTGCAAGCACTTATATGGCTTTTCCCCTGTGTGAACCCTTTGATGTCTCCTTAGGTGGACATTCTGAGAGAAGCACTTTCCACACTCCAAGCAAGCATATGGCTTCTCCCCTGTGTGCACCTTTTGATGTCTCCTTAGGTGGACATTGCAAGAGAAGCACTTTCCACACGCCAAGCATTTATATGGTTTCTCCTCTGTATGAATCTTTTGATGTCTAAGTAGATCACCATTCTGAGAAAAGCACTTTCCACATTCCAAACATTTACATGGTTTCTCCCTTGTATGAATCTTTTGATGTCTAGTTAGGTCACCATTCCGATAGAAGCATTTCCCACACTCCAAGCATTTAAATGACTTCTCCCCTATATGAATCTTTTGATGTCCAATTAGGTGAGCATTCTGAGAAAAGCACCTTCCACACTCCAAACATGTATATGGCTTCTCCCCAGTATGAATCTTTTGATGTGATATTCGAGTGTCATTCCGAGAGAAGCACTTCCCGCACTCCCAGCATTTATAAGGCTTCTCCCCCGTATGTATCTTTTGATGTGCTTTTAGGCTGCTATTAAAAGTGAAGCGCTTTCCACACTCCATGCATTGATATGGCTTCTCTCCTGTGTGAATCTTTTGATGTGCGGTTAGGTAGCTGTACTGAGAGAAGGACTTTGCACACTCAGAGCATTTGTATGGTTTTCCCCCTGTATGAATTGGTTGATGTTTAGTTAGGCTGCCATTCTGAGAAAAGCACTTTCCATACTTGAAGCATTTATATGGAGTCTCCACTGTGTGATACTTTTCCTGTGCAGTTGGGTCACCATTCAGAAAGCAGCACTTTCCATGTGCCAAACATTTGCATGGCTTCTTCCCTATATGAATATTTTGATCTGTAGTTATGTTCCCATTCTGAGAAAAGCACTTTCCACAATCCAAGTATTTATATGGCTTCTCCCTTGTGTAAAGCTTTTGATGTCTATTTGGTATTACTTGATCCTCAGATTTTGTGTCCGTTTGCAGACTGTTATCTTTTTCCACAAGTCTCCTTCCCAACTTCTTCTCGCTCACCATATCCCTTACGTCTCCAACTACAAAAGAGAGACAGAAACCAAATAACAGTGAAAAGGTACAAATACAAGTTTACAGGTATTTTCTGCAATGAGAATCTGGAGTCTGGAAAAACCTCAGCAATATTTAACCACATACCAGGATGCCTTGGCAAAGGAGAAACGGGTGACCAAAGGAAGAGGGAGAGAATTTCTTGCTTCTGTTGTAAAAATGTGCTTTTTAGAGAACGCATAAAACAGAATAGGAAAAGAAATTCTTTAAAAATCGTCAATTTTATTAAAATATTTTTTGATTATATGAAATAACTAAAATATGGAAACACTTCAATCCAGGAACTGGAGACACAGACCGACAAAATAGATCTTTCTACAAACTTGGGGAAATACCCAGGGTTGCAGAAAAATCTGGGAAAAGTACATTGGGGGGCTACAAAACCCAAAAATAATGGAAGCAGTACCTGTAACATATGAAACAAATGCCTTCAGTGGCCACTCCAAGGCCACCACACAGTATTGTCAGCCTTCAAGACTTGGTTTCTGTCAGTTAGAAGCAAGGGCAGGTGACCTTGCTGTTTAGACTCTAAGGTGTCGAACTTGTTTGTTATGACGGCTGGTTCTGACATAAAAGTCAGTTTGTCAGGCTGGGCCATGTGTGCCATAAAACATAATGCCAGGTACTGGAGAGATAATCTGTATAAAGGACAGGATCTGGTAAGCTCCGCGTTGATGTGTCCTCACTGCAAGGCCCCATGGGCTGGGAGAGGGGTGCAGAGGAAAAACCACACTGGCGCCCTGATCTGGATAGCCCAGGCTAGCCCGATCCCGTCAGATCTTGGAAGATAAGCATGGCTGGCCTTGGCTAGTGCTTGGAAGGGCGACCTCCAAGGAATACAAGGGTTGTGACACAGAGGTAGGCAATGGCAAATCACCTCTGAAACATCTCTTGCCTTAAAAACAAGTCTAGCTTGCCACCTAGTGGTGCATAATACTAAAAGAGCTAGAACTTTTGGCTGCCAGACAATCTTGGGATCTCCTGGCTATTCTACACACAATACCATACAATAACTATTATTAATTATTATTACCATATGGGCAGACTGGAGAGCCAGTGGTGTAGTACAGGGGAGATGCTCCCATGCTGCTTGACCGCTGCAGACAAGGTTGCAGAGCCAGTTTGGTGTAGTGGTTAAGTGTGCAGACTCTAATCTCGGAGAACCGGGTTTGATTCCCCACCTTGGGTCAGTCACAAGCTCTGGCACAGCTGTCCTTGAAAAAGAGCAGTCTGTGTCAGAGTTCTCTCAGCCCCACCCACCTCACAGGGTGTCTGTTGTGGGGAGGGGAAGGGAA